ATGAATTTTATACTTTAGGATCCTACCGCGCCCTTTAAAGTCTAAGCCCGAGAAACTTTGACTATGTAGTGGATAAATTAAAAGAAATGTTTTTTCGATCTTGACTTTCTACTTTTTAGTTCAATAATTCTAAATTCAATTTTATGTTCAAAATCGATTATTGGAAGTAAATGTGACATAAAAGAATCCGTTGTTTGTTTTGGAAGAGAACTAGGAAATGGAGGTAACTATAGTATGTAATGCTATAATGTACCTTAAATTTATTGTATTTATGTTTTTTTTAGCTAAATTAAATGGTGAAACAGTGACTGCAGACGGTGATGACGGTGAATTTACGTTAGATGACGATTAGAAATATCAACGTTAATCTTTTTTTTTCTAAATTTTTTCTTTCTGTTATTCTTAATTTTTTTTGTTTCATAAATAAACTGTCATATTGACATTGACTATTAATTGGGTGTAAGTGTTTCTTCTATCCGTCTTTAGTAGAAACATATAAGATACTTAATTAGTGACTAACTTATTAATATAACTCTTATTTATACCACTGTTAAATATTTATATTATTGTTATATATGGAGAAAAGAAAGATAGTGACAATTAAGAGACATTACTTTGTATGTTCTCATCATTATTTAGTTTATTTATATTTTACTTCATTAATTGTATCATCATTAAGAATGAAATTTCAAAAGTCGTCATAGTTGAAAAGATTATCGTGCATTATTAGTGGCATAAAGGTCTATCTCTATTAGTGTGAAAACTCCAAAAATTATGACAATGATTAAAGCATAGAGCAATGTAGACGACAAACAAGATTCAGTCAAAGATTTTGCTACAGATGATTAAAACTAAATCAAGAAAATTTTGATAAATTTATCGGTCAACGGACCTTTCCAGAAGTCAACTTTCGCGTTACAGCTAGTCGACATCTGATTACCATTGAACAAAATATATGAGTAGCTTCTTCTTCTTCTTTATTCCGTAGCTGGCGCTTGATAAGCAGGTCTTTCCCGTAACCAATACGCTGCTGTCGGTGCAAATATATGAGTAGAAAACAAGTCAGAGACAAGAGAGAAGTAAAAAATATAGAAATAATGAAGAAAAAAAAGCCTAGACTATTTAGAAAATTCATCTCCTAACATCAAGATTTTTTCATAAGTTTTTTGTGAGATCTTTTGTATAGTTGCTTCAAACTTTTTTCGTTTCATTTGAGAGTGTTAGGACTTAAAACTGATAGTTTGATTATTCACTCAGCTAAATGTCTTTTTCAACTAGCAGTCATTGTTACACTTTTGTTTTCTGTTCTGCGTGCAACTTTTCTCTTGTCCAGATTTTTACTTCGGAGAATGCAAGAGAATACATTTCTTCCTTTCTGTCGACAGTGAAGAATGCCACATGTATTTTACCTATATTGTTGTAATTTGCTCATCTATATTCTTGTATTGTAACTATTGCCCATTGAGACTTTCGGTAAATATCTGTACAACTATATTCTACGCCAAAACAAAATGTTTACATTAGCAGTAGTTACATCAGTTATTGTCTTATTCATTTCTGTCTTATGGTATATTACTAGACACGGCAGTTTAGATTTTTTATGTTCATTTATTGTTTATCGTGCAAAACAACGCCGATTACGTAAGCGTCCGAAGCGTATAGTACTCATGCGTCATGGTGAGAGTCAAGGCAATCAAGATTCAAGTATCTATTCAACAATCCCGGATCATGCTATTGGATTAACACAACGTGGTGAACAACAAGCGCATCAGGCAGGACTAGAGCTAAAAACGCTAATGAAGAATGAGACAATCTTTTTCTATGTGAGTCCATTTCATCGATCAAAACGTACTTGTGAATTAATTAGTCAGGCATTTGAACAAAAACAAGTAATAAGTGTTAGAGAAGATCCAAGAATTAGAGAGCAAGAATGGTAAGAAGATGAGATAAATACTAGTGAAAGTTTTTCGTATCACTAAATCATGATATTTTTTTCTGTGTTTTAAGGGGTAATTTCCAAGAGTTAGCATCACGTGCGGCAATCGTAATTGAACGTCAAAAAATCGGTCGATTTTTCTATCGTTTCAAAGATGGTGAGTCGGGTGCGGACGTATATGATCGTGTTAGTTCATTTATGGATAGTATGTTTCGTGAGATGGATAATCATGCGATGTCAGAACACAATATTTGTATTGTCAGTCATGGACTATTTATGCGATTGTTTTTGATGCGTTTTTTTCGTTGGTCGGTGGAAAAATTTCATACATTAGAAAATTTTGATAATTGTGGTTATTGCATACTGGAAAAGGACGAGAAAACAGGCTCATATTACCTTAAAACGGAATTAAAAGTCTATCCATACATAAAACCAACATCGATATATACAAATAACAAGAGCAACAAATTAATAGAAAAGAATATTGAAATGAGTTTTGAAGCCGAAGTAAATCCAAACATTCATTCTGATGAAATAAGACATAGTAACACATCCGTAAAACAGACCAATACAAATAAGCAAGAGCCAAAAGTGGAAACAAATCAAGCAACAAATGAGCAATTAGATGTATGAATCTCATTCTATGCGCTTAGCGTAGAATAGACCATATTGTTTCCTATTCACGCAGAAACACATAGTCCTGTTAAATGCTACTTTTGTCATTACAAAAAGTACATGTATTACTTCTTGAATAAATATTTTAAGGAAGCACAAGAGGTAAATTCAGACTTAACTATATCTATTAATTGAGAAAGAAGTTGAGTTTTGCTAACTTCTTAAAGTAATTTAAAAGATTGTGACTGTTAGTTAAAAGCGAATTACATATCATTTTCATAATATTATAGATTAGCTGTCAGCCTGTTTCCGTGCAAAATTCATTTTATCTCCTTGTTTACTTAAAATTGACGATGCTCTATTCAAAAGACAGGTTAAGCGGGCAGCTTGATCCTCAACTCCCTAACATATAGTAAAGGGATTACGAGGGGCAAGTTACCCTTATGATCCGTCAGGTGGACGTACTCTTGCAAACAGAAAGAGAGAATTATTCTGTTTCCGCTCATCGCCTTAGAGCTGATCACAGGAATCCTCAATTCCATTATCCCCTGCAGTATCCACCCACCGGTGGCACGTTGGGGCATCAGAGTGGCGGTTCTTGCATGCTGTGACCAACTGTTTGGCCTCCTTCAAGAGGTTTAGAGTGTTAGCTTCATTCTTCATGATTGAGAAGGAGGGGCGCACTGAGGCTGGTAGCGACGACTTGAAGGTGGGCTACCGTAGTGTTCAAGGCGTGTAACTGCTCTTTGTGCTCGTGAACTGTGGCAGGTCGTTTCAGCCAACGAGACAGAGCTCCCTCTTTCTCATCCTGAAGAGTGAGAAGAAAGTTTTATGACTAATATGAATTTATGCATGCAAATATACAAAGTAACAAAGTAGATACAATTACGTTAGAGATGTGAAAACCAAGTGTTCTCGGGCTTAGACTTTAAAGGGCGCGGTAGGATCCTAAAGTATAAAATTCATAGCTGTGCCCTGTTAGATAGTGAGCCGATCGTTTCTCTAATCGATAAACGCAATTTATAATTCGCGCATCGTTTTCTGAATATTATTTCAGGGCGTAGTCGAAATCAGGTGTTGTGCACAACTTTAAATGACCTTTAAATAAATTATACGTTAGTTTTGGTCGGAATATCATCAATTACCCTTTGTTATTACTTTGAATCACTATTCGATCATAATATGATTAGTGCTGGATTGGTTCAAAATATCAGTCTCTCTAATCTCAAGAATGTGATCAAGAGATTTCTCTTTTTTATTTTCATCGACTTATTCATGATCTTTCCATAAGTGACTTCCTTAGTTTTTCTATAGTATCCATCTCTTATGTATATGCATACCGTAAAAATGCTTCAGAATAACATGAGAAGTCATTCGTACTTGTTGTAGTTTTCATGGTGATGTTTTGTTCTGCTTTCCTCCCTTTCTTTCGTTTTTCTCTTAATTTAAGACATTCTTAACTTTATTACTGATCATCGATTTTTTGAACATGTACGCTGAATATAACATTTAATAAAATGAAAATGACATAATTGTCTTTCACCCCAAAGTCTGGACACTGCAGTACAACATCATCTCTTCAACTATGAGATCTCAGCCCACGATATATAGTTAACATTATCGGTTTTGAATGAAAGCAATAAAAATTCATGCGTGCATACCAGCCAAAAAATGTCAAAGCTTTGTAGGTAATCTGCAAAATAATATACACTTGTCATTTATGATTGTTTGATATCTAATATTGTAAATTTTAATTGAAAGCGATAAGAACAATCTGCGATACTACTAATATAGAAATTATACTCTTATACATCTCAAGACGTAAAGTAGAGTAGCCATGACATCCATGCAGCATCTGTTACTGCTAATGATGATCTTTACTATCATTACTGGTATAACTGCATTGAAACTAGTCGAAACGAATGCACATCTAGAAACACTAATTGCAACACCAAGAGCAACAATTGAATGCATCCGAAACTGCCAGTTTTCTCTACCCATTGACCATGAATTTCAACTGCCATCATCATGCGATGAATTGATATCATCGATTGGCTGCGAAACGATCCTCGTCGTTAACTACACGGCAAAAACTGTTTCCATTTCCTTTTTAACAAAGGGTGATGAAATGCTACAGTATAGAACTGAGTATTTGGTTCAACAAACAGTTGCAATGCAGTTTCAGCAAAGACAAATTACAAGGGAAATCAACACGTTTTGTTTCACACTTGGCTGTGATGTTCAATATGCAAAGCAAGCATTCGATAGCCTAGGCAATCGTGATCATCTGCCAGTACTGAATGACTTAACTCCGCTTCTCTTCAATCCTGTTGGCACAAGTCTTTCTCGGTGTTACAACATGGATAATCAATCAATGGATTGCACGAATAAGTTATGTGAAGCTACAGTACCATCTAAAATAAACATCACGGGATCGAAAGACTGTGAGCAGTTTTATGATTTGTCATATGTTAGCATTGAAATAAACGAATATCGCGCTTATCCAAGTGTCACAGGAGTAGATGATAATGATTATAGAATTACGTGCAACATTGAATTGTGTAATGGTGGTGAAACAACCACAAATGTTCAAAATGTGATCAATAAATATAAAGAACAATTGTCCATCGTTCCTCCAGCTCTAAGAATTGAGTGCATCCAGAAGTGTACGTTTTCTCTACAAATAAATGAACAGTTCCAATTACCATCATCATGCACACAGCGGATATCGTCTTTCGGTTGTTTTACCATAATAGTTATTGACTACACAACGAAAAGTATCTCTGTTAGTTTCTTAACAGATGGTTCCGAGATACAAGAATCAGGTCAGCAGTACGTGATCAGTCAAACAGTCGAAATGGAGTTTCAGCAGAAGATTGTTAAAAGGGAAGTGAATACGTTTTGTTTTACCGCTGACTGTGATGAGAACTATGCGATACGGACTATCAATCGGCTAAGCGAATTAGATCATTCACCATTATTAAATGAGCTATCATCTTACTTATATGACTCAACTGGTACGAGCGTCTCACAATGTTATGATACCAGCAATCAACCAATGAATTGTACTGGGAAACTGTGCGAAGCAAGCATACCGTCAAAACCAGGTGATCCTGGCTACAAAGACTGTGAGCAAATTTACGATTTAGCGTTTGTTAGTATTGAAATAAATGAATATCGGGCTTATCCAACAACCGGTACAGAGGATGACGATAATGATTATGAGATTGTCTGTAATCGTGAACTTTGTAATGGCGGTGGAACAACTACAAATGTTCAAAATGTGATCAATAAATATAAAGAACAATTAGCAATTGTACATCCAACAAACGAACTGGCATCAACGTCATCTCCAATAACGATAAGCACGACTCCAATGACAACAGCACAATCAACAACTATGATTGCACTAGCATTATTGCTCAATACATTCTGTTATATCCATAAACATTAAAAATTCGTTTTCAGCAGACTACTTGTTAGCAGAAATAGTTGAAGAGACGTTCCATGATTCTATCGAGCAACCGTCAAAACGGCGATAATATGACAAAACAAAAATCTTTGAAAGGACGCGGACCAATGTTAAGCGAAATTGACTTCCATTTTAAAGTTACTTTTAATCGGATTTTGTGCACATTTTCCGGATTATCCGTGCTAGAAAATTCACTATATGCTCAGAACGAGTTGAATTCGCTAGGATGAACAGTATTTAGTGCATCGTATATGATTTTTATAAGGAATCTAAAGAAAAGAATTATAAAACTCTATCCTTTGTACAAGGGTTTCTAGAAACCCTGTGAAGACACTCATAGTTTTATGATGGTCGGATGGTATGTTCAACTTTAGCGAACATAATTAACCATATCCTACAGATTTCAACTTATTCTGACGTTTTTCTGTGGATCAATGATCCTCAGAGGAAAAAGAAACAGAACTGTTTCGTTTTTTTATTGTTATAACTAGTTGTAACAATAATAAAAGAACATCACCACTAATACGTAACAAGTAAAACATAAGTAAGAAAAAAATGGAGACTCATACATGCACAAGAAGAGATGTATTGGAATACATTCAGCAAAGTGTATGTCTGTACAGTACGCTCGTGTATAGTAAACAAAATATCTTCAAGTATGTCTGCCTCTGTCAGTTTCAGAAATGAAATTCCATACAATGCTGTCCGATTGACCGAAGTCCAAAATGATAGATCATGAAGTAGAACATAATTAATAACAATACGAAAATTAGGAAGTATTAGAAGCGAATATTTCGTTGTTCAATGAGGACCTCAGAAAATAAGGCGATGTAATTAGTATCGGTACACGCAGATAAAACTCTAATGTCAACTGCAGGTGGTAAATTTCAACAAATAAAGTTTTTGCAAAAGATTTCACGGAATTACATGTGATCTCAGATTGTGATAGACAATTCACTCTATACTCTAAAAAATAATGTGTCGCATGTGTCGCAATCGACGACACATTCTGCATATGATTTTGAGAGAGTAACCAAAGATAGGATTGGTTATTGACAAACCGGTCAAAGCTTTTGAATAGTGAAATACGTAAAAAGCTAGCGAATAAAGCATGGTTTTTCTAAATTAAATTTTTGTAGAGTAACAGAACTTCAGAATCATCGAATCAGAAATAAGTCACTCTTTTTCTTTATTAGTGTATGTTTGATTTTAAGTGATTGAGATATCAAAAGAACTTCAGCGCTGATAGCGAAGGAGACTAAAATAAGAAGTGTAGTGTTTTTTTTTTACAACAGAGCCTAAAACAGGTGTTAAAGCTATGTCTTTAGGGCGTTAACAACTGCGACATTTACACAGCGATGCATTCCTCTCACAGGAACTGTGATACGTTTTGTTGCGACACACTATTTTTTACTGTGTATTTATCCCTCCATATTAAACCCAAGTTTATGTTTCTGAATACCTTTTCATGACCAGAACAGATGGTGCTGAGTCAACAATGCTTTTTAATTTTTCTTCCTCTCGATGAAAATTGAGTGTGTCAACATCACGTTAAGTAATGCTTTTGCTCAACAGAAACAGTCAAATGAAAAAGAATGTCAGACGGGGGTTATTATTTGAAAGTGATTCCATTTCGAGATGTGAAAATACCAATACTACTTCAGAATCAGAACGGACCATGTTCACTAATAGCCATCATGAACGTTTTATTATTGAAACGTCATATTCATATAAATCATCAACAGACGAGTTTTATTTCAGCCAAAACAGTTTTAGAATATTTAGCAAATTATTTGTTTGAACAGCAACAACAACAAAAGCGATCAGAGGATGATTATGATGCAAACTATGCACAGAATGTGAATGATGCGTTGAACGTTCTTCGGCATATGGACACCGGTTTGAATGTTAATGTTCGATTCAATGGTATTCAAAAGTTTGAATTTACTCGTGAATGTGCAATATTTGATTTATTAAATATTGAATTGATGCATGGGTGGCTCATCGATCCGGTGAAAGAGCGTGAGCTGTATGATTTGATCGGCGATAAAGGTTACAACGAAGTTATTGAACGATATCGATGTCCACTAACAGAACGCTTCCTACGTGAAAATCCAACGCAACTGACGGATTATGGTCTGAAAAGACTAGAGGAAACATTGAAAGATAATCAATTAGTCGTACTATTTCATAACAATCATTTTAGTACATTGTACAAATTTAATCACAGACTATTTCTGCTTGTCACCGATCAAGGCTTTATTGATCAAACAAATGTGGTTTGGGAAACACTAGATAATACAAGAGGAAATAGTCTAATGTGCGATGGACAGTTTCGTAATTATCGAGAACGCGTCCAACTACAACGAAATGAAGAACAAGATGAACAACTGGCTCTTGCCCTTCAACAACAAGAGGGATATCATTACAATGACAGACACTATCAACAACGATATTATAATACTAAAAACTACTATGACGATCAAATGGAATCTTCGTGCTGTATTTTGCTGTGATATTAATAATGTACCTTTTCAGAAAACATTGCTCTGGTCTCGAAGAAACGGATCGTCTTTTGAAAAAAGTTAAATAGTTCCTTTCTTTTTAACAATGTCACAGACCAGAGAGTCGACTGGAAACTTTCATCATATATGGAGAAATGACTTGTTTTTGCACTGAACTTCTAAGTTTAGAATTTAACTAGTATACATTGCAAACTGCAAAAAGGTCATTCAATAAATCTAAAAATTTCACCATAGATATCATAGAATTTGAGACAGAGTTACTATCTATTGGCCGCAGCCGATCTTTGGAGTTCATAAGCTGCTGAACATCTGCTATTAGTTGACGAATTTACGGATCGGTAGTGTGTTATTTAGGCTGTTTCAAGCCTATTAGGAATGAGTAGTACCATCAAAGAAAACGTTCTATTCTGTTGATCGCATATAGCATTCAATTTCGGCATCTACTCGTGTCTGTCAAATTTTCTATCGACAATCATTGTAGTAAGTAGCAGCCTCCCTGATCGGCCAATCTGTCGTTTTATTTAATAAAGTCTTACTGTTGATGGTCCACACCTTCACCGATTTTCTTTACAGCTAAACCCGAGTAAGAAAAATCAACCGAGCCGCCATTCCTTGTTAGGCTTTGTGATAGAGCTTATTATTTCACTTACAGTCAATTACAAATGTCACATCAGTAGTATTAGACCACATTATTTGTTTTCCTACAGATACTAATATGAACTGTAATAGAGTCCTGCAAAGATAGATTGAAGATTATAGGAATCGTACCAATTGTCGTTGATAATACTGATCAGAAATTTTCGAGATTTGTACTATCTGTTTCACAATAACAGCGTGCTTGGCTGTTTTCTGAATAATGTTTTACAAAAGTGTGCTAAAAATGTGCGGTTTTCACGGTTGGAAAGCCAAGACCAAACTGCATTGAAGTACTTGTGCTCGTTAAAACTATCACCCCCAGGTGGTGTATCACACCACTCTTTGAAAGAGTAGATTCTCAAAATACATTTGTTCAACTTTCATAGGGAAATTCGAATATCCAACCTCTCGATTACAAATCCACGAAAGGCCGAGATCTCCATCTATCAACGTTACCATAGGGCAGGAGTGTCCCGGAGAGGCTCAGATTTTGTGATCTTCGACTTGGGGAATCTTAAAAACATATGGAAATATAGATTATCGACTACGTTGAATCTCGTGGCAATGTTTGTTTTCGGAACAAAATTTGAAAGCCTTTATTAGGTGAAATAGTCCATCTTTGCCTGTTTTCATCGAAAATCAAAATATTCATAACTCGCTCAAAATCGATCGAGACTACTACAGAATATCAAGATATACTCCATTTAATCTGCTCCATACACGTTTTAAAAACCAACCGAAAACGTTTTGGTTATTGGAAAGATTTTATGGGAGATAACAGAATATTTCGTGTTAATTTTAAGTAAATTGCAAACTTACAGCAAAACTTTCTTTCAGACCTATTATACATCGTTGGATAGAGCGCATCGAGCTCGTTAAGAAAATATGTTTTTTAATTTTTGAAAAAATCTTTTCATGGTAAAACATTTAAAAAACTTGATTGACGTAAACATCCGAAAAATCCTTCAAGTTCAAAACAATTCAAATTTTCGTTGTCGTTGTTAGTCTGGATTTTCCAAAGGATTCAACATTAAACATTGAATAGAAAAATGGTGTTTGATCATTTTCAAAGTTAAAGGCCTGTCCAGTATGACTGTCGCAAACGAACGCCCTAAAATGCCACCAAACAATTTTATAAACCAGAAAAAAATACTTTGGAAAATCCAGACTAACAACGACAACGAAAATTTGAATTGTTTTG